GCATTCACTGGTATAAATCCTCTCATTTTGCCAAGCTCATCTGTGGAGGACAGACTTGCTGATATGCATTAGCATCAGCTCAGCATCAAGTGTGTAAGAAGGAGGTCAGATACAGATCCTAGATACAGTGTAGACCTCACCCATGTTCCGGGGCTTCCTTTGGGCTCTGTGGGTGGAGGTGAACCAAAAGCATGCTTAAAAACTGTATTGACTCCCCTAATGGCTGCAGAGCCCTGAAGTGGATGCCTTCAGCAGCTTCACAAAGCAATACACCAAAGCCCTTGTGCTGCCAGCAGGGGCTGTTTCTAAACGAAGCCTGAATAGGGGCCTGATTGCGCCTCTTCCCTTGATTACAGAGCAAGATTTCCTGGGGATGCTGCCTGCTGAATGACAGAGGAGCCTGTCGCTCTGTAATTATCACTCTTTTAACTGCAGAGGGAACAGCTTTCTCTATAGCCTCTTGGTTTCATTTAAAGAGACAAGGTACCACGGGGTTTATCTTCCACCTGCCTTTTTTAGAGCAGCACAACCTTCCTATTCTGGGTAGATCTAATGGGAACTGCCTGGACCTCTCCTGCAGACACCTGGTGCCCCTCTAGCTGCCCCAAAGTTTGTGACACTGAGGGCTGGGTTGGTACTTTGCCAGAAGCCTGATGGCTGCACTTAATTTCCATATACATTTACATATATTTTGTAATCAAAAACAAATGAACATGACCATAATATTTGCACTTACTTGCATCTTCCTTGATAGATGAATACAAATTGCTTGTTGTGTGAATTCACCAGCCGCAAACAGCTGCCTAGTCTCTGCGTGGCCCTTGCCCTGCAGTTAGAGGGAGAGGGCAGGCAGCTCTGGGCTACACTTTGAGCAGCTCAGATCTACACCCTCTAGTGCAACACTAAGCATAAAACAGATGGTGACCGATGGCTGTAGAATAAATGTGGGGAGAGGAGTGCTATGTGCCTTTGTATGGCGCCTCTGATAGTCGGTGTGCAACCTGTGCCCTTTGGGCTGGAGGTCAGGAGGCTTGGGATGAACACTGCCTTTGCTTTGGTTTCTGATACTTTCTTCGTTCTGCTGCTCACTTCCCCCTTTCATTCTCTCTCAAGCTCGTCTTGGATTCAATTCCTTTGGCACATTATAAAATAATAATTTTCTAATCATGTTATTTTTATGTGGTTCCAGATGGGCATCAGAGAAATAAGATCTGTTAAGATCTATTAATTGAATGTTTGTAAAGTGCTGTGATGCGCCAAAGTGCAGCGTAAGCACTGTTTATTATTGCTAATAGTAAATATTAGAGATGAGCTGGAGCCACGGAGGTTCAGTTTGGATCCAACATGTCCCTAAATTCCATCTCTGATTTGTTATGAAATAGTATC